TTGGTTTTGTACAAGTTGCAAGCAAAAGTTTTGAGATTCCTCCAGTCTCAGAATGATACCGGGCCAGGCACTCTAGGCTGGTTCCATTTAGTGTGTGGAATCCCTGGTTCAGCTTATACTCTGAATCCAAAGCCAGGCAAATCACCAGGCAAGGAAGAATGGCCATTCTCCCAGGGGCAGTGGCCCAGCCTAAGCACAGCATAATCACCCGAGGTGTCTGTAAAGCTACAGGTGCTCAAGTTCCACCCAAGACTACTCTAAGGATGGGTTCCAAAAAGTTGTATTTGAAAAAAAAAAAAAAAAGAGAGACTCCTCAGGCAATTCAGATACACAGCTTTGGTTAAGAACATTACATTACCGGGGCCAGCCCGGTGGCACAGCAGTTAAGAGAGTGCGCTCTTCTTTGGTGGCCCGGGGTTCGCAGCCCGGATCCCAGGTGCGCACCAACATACCACTTGTCAAGCCATGCTGTGGCGGCGTCCCATATAAAGGAAGATAGGCACAGGTGTTAGCCCAGGGCCAATCTTCCTCAGCAAAAATGAGGAGGATTGGCATCGGATGTTAGTTCAGGGCTGATCTTCCTCACACACACAAAAAAAGAACATTACATTACCTAGTCAGAAGACTCAAATCACATTAAGCTACACTCACATTAGGGCTACACAGGATGTTCCTCCATCCTGAGGTTAACTGTCTCCCTTCCAGGTGATTAAAAAAAAAAGTCACAAGGCTGAATGCGCTCCTTTAGTGCAATTTCACAGACTAAATTCCTCTAAGATTGCTCAATTTTCATCCAAGCTGCCTGCTGAGGCCATGGCAAAGCCCCTCCAAGGACAAGTATACAGAAAACATTCAGTAGCTCATGAAACAGCTTTGCTTTAATGTCTCGGGAGACAAAAGGAAAAAAAACTGGGGAGGAGAGATGATCTTTTAAATACACTGCATTGCCTTAAACATAAGGTCATGAACTATGCTCAAGAAAAAGTGCATTACACTCAGATTTTTCTGGGTTTAGTATACAAAGGAAGCTGGAAAGGAAGGAAGTGTGGTGTAATCCATTGCAACGACAACAAAAACTGGAAAGGAATGAATCATTTCTCTTCCCAACTTTACAAGAGATCCATGTGTGACTGAGTAAATTATCTGATCATTTGACGTCTAGATTACTGCACTCTCAAAGAGAGAAAACAATTCCCCTGAAATTCAATAATACAACCAATATATTACATTGCAAATGCTGCACATTTCAAAAAAATGAAGACGTTTCAAATCAGTCCAATGTCTTCAATCTTGCCTGCTTTATATATTTACATCAACATGCAGTCCTGCTGGCTCAACCCCCATTTCCCCATGCCAAAGTCAATTCAAAAAGCAATCCCTTCACTAGACAGATACTAAGGACCAGGAATAAGAAAAGGAATAACAAGTACTCCAATGGCCTCTATTATCAGACAGCTCCATAGTGCACACGTATGACGTCACATCAAAATAGAAAGGAGCATAAGCCCCAAGGAAGACAGGATATGATAATTGATGGCACCTTCCATAACTTAGACCTACATAAATACAGCTTCTCTTACCAGAGGCACCCTACATCAGCCCCCTAGAGGAGATGAAACAGGTCTTCTTCATGTGAGGGGATGCCAATTTTTGAAGATAAAGGAACAGAGGACTCTGTTAACAGATTTGATTAACAAGAACAAAACTTAAAACACTGTCTCCAGCCTAAATAACTAAGCATCAGTTAGTTATCAAAAATTATAGTGAGTCTATCTACACTATAACATAGCAAGATAAAAATTATCTAGGATCTCTCAGTGTTGCTTCTTAAAACAAGAAAGTGAATTCTATGTACAGTTAAATTCCTTTTACTGTTTCCTGAAAGCTCAAGAAACCAGCACTTATGGAAGCAATCAGAACCATGCACAAATCCAAACACAAAGGCTTGAAAATGCCTTAAATGTGCACAGCTCCTCACTGTTTATAACAAATGTTCATAGACAGTATCTCGTTTTAGCCTCCCAGGACCTCCATGAGATATTACCAACATCCTTATTTTCAAAATGATAAAGTTGAAGTACAGAGATGCCAAACATCTTGCCTAAGATCACTCCGGATCCTGCTGTCTCTTTCCAAACTCAGAAAAAAAAATGTTCACTTACACCCAGGTTTACCATACAACCCAGGATTTTCTAAGTAATGCAGTAAAATCAGACACTGACATTGTCATATACGAATGCTGAACGTCATGCCCTCTCCAAGTTCTACAGCAATGGTTCACCTTGACATTGTCATGAAGACCTATTTGTGAAATGTAATGAAAGCTAAGTACTCATCACCCCATAAAAAGGCACATATGCAAATGTTCATAGTAGCATTATTCATAATAGCCAAAGAGTGGAAACCACCCAAAAGTCCTGCCTGATGAATGGATAAACAAAATGTGGTATATCCATACAATGGAATACCATTCAGGTGAAAAATGAATGGTGTACTGAAACAATAAGGATGAAGCTTGAAAACATCATGCTAAATGAAAGGAACCAGTCACAAAAGACCACATGTTGTATGATCCCATTTATATAGAATGTCCAGAATAGGCAAATCAATAGGGACAGATTAGTGGTTGTCTAGGGCTTTGGGTGGGTTGGGAGGAAATGGGGAATAACTGCTGATGGGTATGGGGTTTCTTGTTTGGGTGATGAAAATGTTCTAAAACTGATTGTGGTGATGGTTGCACAGCCACAAATATACTTAAAAACCATTGAAATGTACACTTTAAACGGTGTATTGTATGGTATGTCAACTATATCTCAATAAAAATGTTATTTTAAAAACAACCATTAAAAATGTATATACAAATAACATTTCCCACATAATTTCTGAGGGTTTGCTAAATCCCTGAAGCCCATGCACAGGTGCAGTGGGGCCTAAGACTCAAAGTTAGTAACTCTTGCTCTATAGAAACAAGAATCATCATTCTATTTTCTTTGTTTTACAGATAAGTTTTATTTCAGTTTCCCCCACAACTACCAAGCCTACGCCTCCTACTTTTTAATATCATTACTTCATCTATTAGATCACATGACCACAGTAGTTTTCAATATTGATTCATTAAAAACAAATAGTATAGTTTCATAAATATAATTTTAAGAGCTAGAAAAAAACCTTTAGTAACGAAGCATCTATTATTTGCAAGGCATGGCTAGAATTCAAAAATGTAAAAGATTTAACTTCTGCTCTCAAGGAGCATAAAATCTAATAGGTGAGATAAGATCAACACACAAAGAACAATATACAAAATAGAAAGTGAATCTTGCCTTAAAAAGGCCAGGGAAAATCAGCGAGGAAGAATGATTAAAGGAAAGCTTCTTGGCAGACGTAGACATTTAATGCTGGGTTTGACCTTGAAGAATAGGTAGGATTTGAACACTCAGAGAAGGAGTAAAGAGAATTCCAGATGAGAGCAGAAGCAGGGATGTTTCAGAACAGTCTCTAGGAACCATGAAGAGAAGCCTTAATGTCAAGTTAAGGATCCTGGACTTTATTTGGTAGGCTCTGAGAAGCCAAAGAAGGCTGCTGAGTAGGGAAGTTACCTAATCAAAGTGGTATATTAAGAATATTGATTGTTCAGTAATGCGTAGGTGCATGTGGAAGAGAGAAAAACTGGTGCACGGAAACAAATTGGAAGCCTACTACAACAGTATGAAGAAAGAGTTATTAGAGTCTGATTCAGGGAGTGGCAAGCTGACTCAGCAGCCATTTTACAAGATCAAGGCACCCACTGAAAAACGAGTGTTTTGACAGACAGTAGCTACTCATTTAAAGTGCTGCCAATTTAAAAACCAGCTGTAGTTCATCATGGGACATATTTCCCTTGAAAAACCCCCATCTACAACGTGAGTTTTGAGATCCCCTCAAAATAGCATTTTAACATGAAATTTCGGCTATCTTAGTTTGTGGGATTAGGAAGGGTGCCAAAGGCTCCTTTCGGCTCCCTCTGCTCCATTAACTATACACCAAACATTTGATGTTCTATAGATTTACAGTACTCAGCCCTGATGGTCTAGCGGTTAAGATTTGGTGCTCTCACTGCCAGGGTCCAGGTTTGTTTCCCAGTCAGGGAACCACATCACCCAGTTGTCCTACTGTGGCGGCTGCCAGTTGCTATGATGCTGAAAGCTATGCCACCGGTATTTCAAATAACAGCAGGGTCACCCATGGTGGACAGGTTTCAACGGAGCTTCCAGACTAAGTACCTGGCCACCCACTTCCGGAAAAAAAACTGGCCATGAAAACCCTATGAACAGCAGCAGAGCATTGTCTCATATAGCGCTGCAAGGTGCAAAAAGACTGGGAAGGGTTCTGCTCTGATGTACAAAGGGTCGCTAGGAGTTAGAATCCACTCCATAGCACTAACAACACAAAAAGTTTACAGTAAAACAATCCTGATAAAAGTTGGATGACAAGCTTTCACGTGACCAAGTAAACCTAAACTCCAAGACTATAAAAGACCTTAGACAAAATGACATATTTGCAGTAGCAAACACTAAAGGGTCAAAGGTCCTGTCGAGCACAACAGAATTTCCTTGAAATTGCTTTATTTCTATTTGTGTGCCTGGGGTGATTGGAGGTAGAGCACACCCTTGGAGAGTAACCCCTTCTGGGTTATAGATTTACCACGTGGACATGCACCGGGCAGATACCGCAGGCGCGTTACCTACCTGGAACGGCTGAAGATTCGTCATCGCTCAGAAGAGACAAGCCAGAGGCTACCAAACACGCTTCCTCCCCCACACAAAGCAATGCTCAGCACAGGAACTAGAAGGCGGGAGGTGTGAGTCACGTGACACCCTCCCTCAAAGAAAAGACCCTGCCCCTATCTCCACAGAACACTTTGCCAAGGCCAAGAACATTACCCCTTAGCCCTTTTACTTCCAATCCCCGCCCACCTCCTGAAAGACCCTCCACCTCCCTTTCCCCTTCCGCTCTTGGCTCACTTGTCCCGGATGATGGTCTGCAGCTCCCGGATCTGATCATTCATAGGCAGCAACTTAAGCTGTGCCCCGATCTGCCCGGCGAGTTCGCAGTCCCCTAGGAAGGAGTCGCCGGCTGGTGCGTCATAGTTGCCACTGCCACCGTTGCTCTCTGAGTTGAGGCTGGCGCCGCCGCAGGCCTGAGGGTCCCTCTCGGCGGGTACGCTAGAATGGGCGTGCCCGGTGAGGACAGTCAGCTTGGCCATGGAGGCGCTGTTTCCCCCGGCATGGTCTGGGATCAGGTCGCCAGGTAGCGGCGGCCCGAGGCTTGGGCTAGAGGCAGAGTTTACTTGCTGGTTGTGACAGGGCATAGAGTCCGGACACCGTAACTCCGTGGCCATACACCTGGCCCCGGGCTGTCCCCGCAGCTACCGACCCCTAAGGATAAACGAGAGCGGGGAGAAGGGGCCAATGCTCACGTGCTCGGCAGGTCACCCCCGCCTCTTCCGCCTCTCCCGAACCTCTAACCCCGTTCGCCCTCTCACCTTTAGGCCTCCGCCGCTTTCTTTCCTCGCTTAGCCCCGCCCACGCCAGACGAACCGCCTGCCTAGACACTCTATTGGCTTCTCTCCCTGCCACTCTGCAGCGCTCTGCTTGTTAACCCTTTTGAGTCAATCCGGTTTCGTGGGTTCCCACACCTAGCCAGGCAGACGGGGTGAGGCCAAGGATGCTTGATTGCGGGGTCTTCCGGGAGCCCCTAGGGATTCTGCGTGCAGAACTTAGAGTGAGTGGTAGAGCCAGGGGAACTAGGGATGGAGAGTGATAAAATTATTACACACATAAGGCCCATGTTTTCAGACTTTGTGTCTTGGCAGAGAGCTTATACTTCAGTAGCTGCATCTTCAGTTAGCTTGTCTGTATAGCCAAGAGAGTAAGTAAAAACTGCCTAGCAGGCTGCTGAAAAGCCTTCTCTCTACTAGACTCTCCTACAAGCTGCAGCTTCCGAAGTGTGCTTGACCGCTAGAGCTTCCCTTATCTTTATTGATTGAGTTCTAACTGTACAGTTACCATGGGGACACTGACAGCATTTCAGATACACTACCATTCTGTTTCTTTTAAATACTTGAAAAGACACCTTTTTTTAGTGTGTGGACTCAGTATAAAGACTTGAGGTAAGAATGTCTAGGGCAATATTTTTCAACATCAGTGTGTATTAGGACAATTATAGAGCTTATTAAAATGCAAGTTCTTATGGCCTACCTTTGAGATTCTGATTCAGTAGATCTGATATGCGACCCAAGAATCTTTATTCTTGACAGGTAACCTAGCAATTCTGATTTTTTTTTAAATGGTACTCTTTGAGAAACAGTGGCTTACAGGCTCCCTTTTTAAGGAGCTACAACCTGAAAGTCAGAAACCCGGTAATTCTGCTAAAATATGTTGAACAGCACTTAAGTCCCTTCCCCTCTCCGGGATTGACTCTCCCCATCTATTAAGTGAGATGCATTAACTATTTGATCCCTAAATGTTCTTCCAATTTCATTCTATAATTCTATTTTGCCTTCCAAAAAGCCAATTCTTAAAATTCCTTGTTCCACACAGAAACATAACAAACACATGCAGAGATTCAGAGAAATATGAGTAACAGATAAGTTAGGAATATTCAGGCCTTTGGTGGGACTTGAGCCTTAATCTAGCTCTCTGTTTTCCATTTTTTGTTTGTTTGTTGTTTTGGTATTGCTATTAATGGTATTTTTCTCCCCTTTTGTCTCTCCCATTTTCTCTGCTTTGTGCCTGACCCTCTAGGTCAGTACACTATTAGCTATAATTATAGAGAGTTTAAATTTGATTGGATGATAAGAATTGCAGCCTAGAATTGTAATCCCACTCACTTTTGAATGCCTGTGCATCTTTTCAACTAGCACTGAATGTGATTCAAAGGGTCTCTGGGTTTAAAAGCTGACTCTGCTAACTTGAAGTGGGCAGGAGCAATTAAGTGGCTAATACTTAAGGAAAACACTGAAATACAGTATTGTTTCACTATCAGTAATTTAAATGCAGTAATGAATTTAAAATGGTATTGTGAGACATCCCAGGACCAAAACTGTAATGTAGTTATTTTTTCTAGTGTCTCATCAGGCAAATGGCCTTGTTCTCAAAGCCACAGAATATGAATTAGAACAGTACAACTGTCAGTGTGTCTTGTATTTTCCACTCTTATAGGAAACACCCATGCATACACTTACCTATATTAACCAATAATCATTAGCAAATCTATTTATCTAGTCAGTTTAATTATTAAAGATGCTATTAAAGCAAAATTCACTAATGATTAATTGTAATAGCACCTTAAATTTGGTGGTTTATAATTTACAAAGAGCTTCTATACCTTCTCTCATTTAATTCTCCAAAAAAATCTTCAGGATTACCAATCCCCGTTTATAGCTGATATCTGTGTAATTCTTTTTCCTAAACTGACTTGTCCAAGGTCACACATCCAAAAAGGAGTGGAGCCAAGGCAGGAACCCCAGTCTCTTGACTTTAAATTCAGTCTTCTCTGCACACACCTACAGATTCAAGATATCAATCAATTAACAAATACTGGTTGAGCCCTTACTATTTGCCAGGCATGTTGCTAGGTGCTAGAACAGAAAGAAAATGAGTGAAGATCTTGAAATTTTCCATGGTTGTAGACGTCATGGAGATCATGGATAATATGGATCTTTGAAAACCAAAGGATGATGTTAGGCAGCATGGAAAACTGCACCAAAGATACTAATAGCAGAATTGACAACTTTGAATTTAGTTCTCTCTCTTTTTTTTTTTTTGATGAGGAAGATTGGCCCTGAGCTAACATCTGTTGCCAGTCCTCCACTTTTTGCTTGAGTAAGGTTGTCCCTGAGCTAACATCCATGCCAGTCTGCCTCTGTTTTTTGTATGTGGGATGCCACCACAGCGTGGCTTGATGAGCAGTCTGTAGGTCCGCACCCAGGATCCGAACCCGTGAACCCTGGGGCACTGAAGCAGAGCACGTGAACTTAACCACTATTCCACTGGGCCGGCCCCTCTTGCTTCCCACTTTTTGCAGGAAGTACAAAGCCAGATAAAGCAAAAAGCTGGGATTCTTCTGTAATAATTGAGATTACTGTAAACTTCATCTTAGGTTTTGAGCTCTAAATTTGAGATGATCTCTAAAAATTATGGGAAGCAACAAACCAACTGAATGTATCAATAGAAATCCTGTACATATATCTACATAGTGCCTTTACAAAACACTTTTATATAGGTTATCTCATTCGATATTGCGGAGTAGTTAGGCCCAGTATTATAATTCCTGTTTTACAGTGAGAAGGTTGAGACCTAGGAGGCTAATACATCGTAAATAATAGAGTTGGAAGAAAGCAAAAGAGAATTAATATTAATATTAAACTCTATTTTCCATACAGTATGCTTTAGTTATCTCATTTAAGCCTTTCAATAACCTTAGGAGGTAGGCTTTATTTGTTACCCCCATTTTACAGATAAGAAAAAAGATGTAGTGTGAGTAAGTAACTTGATAATGTCACACAGACAGTAAATGCAGGAGCAGAGATTTGAATCCAAATATGATCAGGTCAATTTGACTATTTCTATAAATCCAGGTCCTCAGATTAGTCCAGTTTATATTCCTCTATGTGTACCACACTTTATGCTTGTATTAGATAGTATCTCACCTGCAATACCAGATTTAACCTCTGAACCAAAAATTGTGCTATATGACAGAGCTAGAGAATCCTGATACAATTTTCTATTAATGTTTAGTCCTCTGATGAACTCCTTGACAATCCCTTTGTGCCCTAAACTCCAAGAGTTCCTTAATTCAAGTTGACTTGGGTGATGCTGAAGCCATTACATTGTAATTTTAAATTTTATATGAACAAAAATCTATTAATTAAAAGGGTACCCAATGTTCTGAACAAATACAGTTCTTCACTTTTCTTTCCAAATGAATAGCAGAATCACTTCTCAGATGTATACCTTACCTTGATTCTCTGGCTCCCAATGACCTCAAATTGTCTATTTGGATATCTTCTCAAATGTATATCTTATCTTCTTTACCATTTACTCCCCCTGATTTCAAAATTTTTGAATCACTTTTCAGATACATATTGCTAGCTTTTTGAAGTTAGTTTACTTATGAGTACAAAGCCTTACCTGTAGATCTTAAACAATTTCTGGTAAGGTGGATGGGGCAGGACAGGCAGATCTTGTACAAAAGATTATACCTTCTTCTATAAAGAGTGTACCTTGTATAAAAGGTATAAAAGAGAGCTGGAAAATGATATATTAAGAACTGAGGTGTCTTCTTTTGTGTTTTGTTGATTTTTTTAATTGATGTGCTTTGGTTCCTTTCTATTTTTCTTTTGTGTAAATTCTAGAGGTATTTTTGTTTTGTGGTTACCTTGGGACTTACATAAGATATCTTATAACAGTCTAATTTAACTTGATAACAAATTAAGTTCAATCACATAGAAAAACTCTACACTTTAACTTCTACTCCCCCACTTCAAGTTACTGTTGTCACAACTTACATTTGTTCCTATTATGTATCTTTAAACATATATTTATTTGTAGTCATTTTAAATAATTTTCTATTTTAACTTTTATATTTGAATTAAAATTGATTTACCCACCACCATTATAGTAATACAGTGTTCTTTAGTTGTCTACATATTTACCTTTACCAATGAGTTTCATATTTTCTTATGGTATGGTGTTGCTGTTAGCATCCTTTTGTTTCAACTTAAGTCTCTTTAGCATTTCTTGTAAGGCAAGTTTAGTGGTGATGAACTCTTTCAGCTTTCATTTGGGAAAGTATCTCTCCTTCATTTTTAAAGGACAGTTTTGCTGAGTATAGTCTTCTTGTTTGGCAGGTTTTTTCTTTCAGCACTTTGAATATATCATCCCACTGGCCTTCAAGGTTTCTTCTGAAAAATCCACTGGTAGTCTTATGGGGGTTTCCTTGTATGTGGCCAGTCACTTTGCTCTTGCTGCTTACAAAATTCTCTTTGGGTTTTGACTTTTGAGAAGTTGATTATAAAGTGTCTCATTGTGGATTTTTGGGAATTCATCTTATTTTATGATCTTTGGGCTTCTTGCATCTGGATGTCCAGTTCCTTCTCCAGATTTGGGAAGTTTTTGGCCATTATTTTTTTTTAATAAGCTTTCTGGTCTTTTCTCTCTCTCTTCTCCCTCTGGGACTCCCATAATGCATATATTGGACTTCTTGATGGTCTTCCATAAGTCCGTTAAGCTTTCTTCACTTTAAAAATTCTTTTTTCTTTTTGTTCTTCTGAATTATTTCCAGTGACTTGTCTTCAAGTTCACTGATCCTTTCTTCTGCTTGATCTAGTCTGGTGTTGAAATCCTATGGTGATTTTTTTTCAGTTCAATTATTGTGTTCTTTATTGCATTCTAATTTCTGTGGCTTTTTCAAAATATTTTCTCTTTGTTGCAATTCTCA